AGAGAGAGAGAGAGATTGATAGATCGGTATAATGATACATAGATATAGTGATAGATAGATGAATTATAGATAGATAGATAGATAGATAGATAAGTTGATGGATGGATGGATAGATACATAGATAGATAGACAGATAGATAGATAGACAAAAGGAAAGACTGACAGAGACAGAGAGAGATTAAAGAGAGATATATAAGCGAGCGAGATAGATATATAGAAAGAATACAGAAGAGAGATGGTGTACAGAGCCTCTCCAAGACTTCAGAATCGGATCAAAATATTCTTCATTATGGAGCTTCTAGAAAGCGGCACAGGGTATCTGGCCCTTGTCATCTTGACTCTGTCAGTGAGCTGTTTCGCACAGTGCATGACCCGGCGTACCGCTTGGGCCTCTGTTTCACTTCTGCTGATTGAAGGAGGCTCGAAGCTCGTGCTGTTTAGTGTTAGACGAAGATTCGTCGGCCGAGTTCCCCTCGACGGCATGTCATGTGCGCAGGTGGCAGCTTACCGAACGAGGGCTTACTCACAAAGATTGGGGATGTTCCAATACCGCCACTTGTCAGTACTGCGGGCTATTCGCCTGGTAACACTGGTTCTTCAGGTGTCTCTCGGGAAGTTTCTCTACGACTCGGTCCCTGACCAGGCTGACCTTAAGCTTCAGTCAACAGAGTCTGACTTGTGTGTGGACCGTGCCATTGAGTTTCTGTTAGTCAGTTGTTGCATCCTTCTTCTCCACTCTCTCGTCAAGTGTTCTTTGATCTTCTTTTCTCTCTTTTATGTCTTCGCCGACCTCGTCAAACACCTCATCTGCAATCCCATCTGCTGTCGCACTGGTCGTTGCGGTCGGTCCGAAGGAGGGATCATCGAAGGCTCCCTGCTCGAAGAACGGTATAGGAAACACATGGAGATCGCCGCTGGCCACACGTGGTATGTGCACTTGCATCGTCATTTCTTCTTTGATGCTGAGGACGCTTTAAGGAACAAAGAAGTGTGTGGCCTGCCGGGGTACTGGTTCTTCAGCCAGAAGGAACTATTGAGCATCATCCGGTGCAATCTGCCTGCTGTGGCGGCCGAGCGCCACCCGTCGGCGACATGGACCTGGGCGGAAGAATCAGGCAGCAACTTGTCCTTATCACAAAGCCTGAAATCCTTACTCCATCTGTCCCGAGCATCACCTAATACGGCTGGTTTGCAAAGCATGATGCCAGATCTGCCCCAGAGTAGCCGCTGTGTGCACGATGTTGATGCTGGTCGAGACTTTGCTCAAGCTGGAGGTTATACGACGATGCTGGGAGTGCTGCAGTCCATTCGACCCTATTCTGAAGAAGCGCAATGTGCTGCTTCCATACTTGCTGGATTTGCTGCAGGTCTGTCTGTCCTACCTTGGCAACCTGATCGTAATGCCGCAGACAAGGACTCCATCCTGAACATGCTGAAGGAAAACGTTTTCCGGGACTGCACAAGACAACTCTTGTCCTTGCTCTTCGAACTGCTTGAAACGTTTTCCGGGACCGAACAAGGCAGCTCTTTTCCCACTGGTCAACAGCTGAGCGTTCTGGAGGCAGCCGCATCTGCAATCTGTTCTTTCGCACGTGCTGCAAGCGATATACATGCACAGTTTCATGCAGCTGGTAAAGAACAACCTGACACACAATCTGATACTAGACGAAGCCCGTGGACATATCAGCCATGCGTACAGCCTCGTACACAACCGCCATGGGGGCCATGTGCTGCACAACAGCCAAACGCACAGCATGATTGTGGCGGGGCTAAGGTAGTTGCTGCCTCAAAAATGAGCAATGCTTTCACGACGGCCTTCCCAGACGGTTGGCGACTGACAACAAACATACCCGACTTTGAAACCGTAGAAGGGACGTGGGTAGCGGATGTCGCCAACTTCTTCTTGACTGAGGACAAGATCATGACCATTTTAGATTGTGTGGTTAATACGGTGTCACGGAACATTGCTACGGACTGTTTGAGGACTCTGTCATCACTCTTTTCATGCACAATGATCTACTGGCACCGCTTTGATAAGCGAATGCCGGCGGATTTCCCCCCACCTCTTTCTCTCATCAATCATTTTCACAACTGTGACAACTCCAGTCCACCTAGCCTCACAGATCGACTCAAAGATCTCCTTCATAGCTGTGTGGAGCGAGGAGAGCAGACTCTGAATAGATGTGTGGAGGCTGAGTTGCCCCTATCCCATCATTCACAGTTGCAGCTGGCCAAGATTTTCATCTCCCAGGGCATACGAGATGTTGACGAAGACCTCGTGAAGCTCCTGCTGCAATGCCTGTCCCACTGGACGAGCGCACTGGGGACGATAGACGCCAGGTGGAGCGCTACGGAAACCATAGAGACCTTGCGTGATCTGTTCACGACTTCGGACCGTTGGGAGAACCTCTTGCTGATGGTTGCCCCAGTGGTCAGTGGTGTCATTGCCACGTGCTACGGTCTTGGTATGGGCCACTTCGATAACTTTCTCAGTAGTAGGTCATCATCAAGGGTTGAATCATATTCCTCATTCACGGACGCTGAAGTATGTTTCTGTGGTATCACTGCATCTGCAGCTGGACTACTGGGGGACTTGCTCAACATGGAAAACTACAGGGGCAGGCAACAACCAATCAGCACCTTCCTTCCCCTCCACTGCGAGAGACTCACTGTGACAATGCCTCAACAATCCCTGTCAATACCTACTAGTGGCAGTAGTGGTGGTTTAAGCAGACTGCCGACAACGCCGGCAGCGAGAAGCCTTGCCAGCCGACAAAGAAGTAGCACATCTCTGAGCCTCCATCAGGAAGGAGCAGGCTTTGTATCGGACAGATGCACAACAGATGATGCCATTATCACACTGTTCAAGAGCTTGAGCTTTATCATCTTCCGCCGGATGTGTGCGAATGTCTGTTGGGGTCCGCATACAGATGGACCGTTAAAAAGAGGCTCTTCTTTTTGCCTGAACCTTACTCGTATTCCTAAATCTACCATTGTAACTTGGATGGCGCTCATCTGGGAATCCTTGTCGAATCCGGTGTGGCTACCTGCACCTGGTCTCATTGAAAGCACAGGTTCTGACTCGGTTGCGGGTAGAGCAGGTGTGTACCATATGTCACGGCTTGAGAAGGCTGTGAATGCTCGTTTAGGATCGAGAAACGCTGTGATTGTAATGGAGTACATTATCCAGATGTACGAGCCCCAGCTTGATGCTAAGCTGCTGACTGTCCTTTTCACACCCCTGGTTTGCGGCCTGAAAAGGCCCCCTGTGGCCCCACCAGGGGGGCAGCAACACCCGGAGGGGTTACATGAAAGCATCTATGATGACATCATGGAGTACAGTGCCACCAAAAAGATACTCAAGCGAGTCACTAACCGGATTATTGAGAATTTTACGGACAGATTGGCAAGGGAGATGATAGCAGATCCATGGTTACCAAGTCTTGACCTCCTCCAGTATCTGAGCAATGAGCTGCGGGACTGGAGGACTCGGAATCCTGACGACGAGGAACTTCGCCAGTCCGTACTGGACTTATTCCAACGCTTCAGAGCACCACCAGTTCGCACGCCGAGTCTTCAAAGGCTGTCGAGCCTCTGACTGCTCCTTTTCATAGTGGCCTTCCGCTTTCGCTGCCAGCCCAGTCTCGAAGCCAGGTGATCTCACAGTGTATACCAGTATGACCAGTACTTGGGCTCAAGCGGCAATTTCGTCAAAAGGGACATCTTTTATTTTTTGAACAAAATTGAAACCTACTAGTACGGCCACTACATTGGCCCAATTTAGGTCAAGATTTTTAGCTCTTGAGGGTCTGGTGTTCTTAAAATGCCCGCCCCCCTGGATGTATCTGGACTTAGCTGGAGTGCAGGTGGTTCGGCTTGTTAAGAACGCTGGACACCCTGGATGTATCTGGGCTTAGCTGGAGTCCCGGGTGGTACGGCATCTTAAGAACGCCGGACCCTCAATTTCGTAAAAATTTTGACCTGAATTGGGCCAATTTAGTAGGTTTCAATTTCATTCAAAAAATAAAAATTGTCCGTTTTGACGAAATTGCTGTTCTCATGTGAACTGGTGATTTAACTTCCTGAGGTCTCACAGGCAACAAGAATTGGGAGACTTATATACCCATGCCGCCATGCGCACCTAGAACTTCGTAAGTCCTTCAATGAGCTGAATGAGCATTGAAGAACCCCCATTTGAACCCTGCTTGAACCTCTCTGGTATATGGTAACTACCTGACTATGGTATAGTACGCGGGCCCAGAGAACCCTAGGTCTGCTACTCCCTGCCGCTCGCTAGGGAAGTCGCTGTCTAGACATCTGGGTACGATCATGGGGTTTTCCTGGTTAGAGGGGCCCCTTCATACTAGTGGAGAGGAGTGGCACAGTGGGTAGTATGTCTAGGTGTGTTCCCCCTTATGTGTGTCTTGAACCACGGGGGTAAGAAGGCTGTCTCATCTCGTGGGTGTGTGGGGGGGGAAGGGGTACACGAACCTTGTGGTAGGTAGGGATGAATGGTTCGGGTTGCTTAATCGGTAGTTCATCATTCGAGGGGAGTAGTTGATTCACATACAAAGCGACCTCATGGGCCACCTGCGGAGACCGCATGGGGGGGTGGGAAATCGCATCGTATGTAGAAATACTTCCTCAGGCTGGGGTAGTCCAAGTAGTTAGAGTCTGCCTGATGACCAGGAGGTGCGAGTCGATGCTTGTCTCATGGCTTAGGACCACCTGGCTGGCTGGTCGTCTCTAGGCAGTGTATAGACATTGGGGTACTCTCATAGCCCCGTCATCAGGGTACTAGCTGGCCCACCAGGTACCAAGCAAGGGTAGGCTGTGAGATGGGCATAGGGGCTGGAGGGACTAGTAGAGAGGACGGTGATAAAGTGTAGCTCAGGTAGGACTTGTACTGAGCCTGTCTCCTGAGAAGTGGGTAGGATAGGTGGAGCAGGCGGGGGTGTACTGTACATTAATAGGAGGGAGGTAGGCCTTCTACCCCTGTCTGAGGGGGGATCGGCTATAGGGATGTGCTAAGTAAATGGTTGGGGGACAAAGCTGCTTAGAGTGGGCCCGCAATACACCCAGTTGGAGGCTGGATCTGTAGGGATGGAATCTGATCTCTGATGGCAAACTGTATGGTGTAGAAGGGACATGACTTGCGATAGGAAGGGCTCTAAGCCCGGCGCAGAGGACTTGGTCTAGGAATGTCCAGAGGGCCAAGTGGGTCATTCCGAACTTCGAGTGACTGAACCCTGGAGAGTATTTCCTTGCTGATACCCTGCCTTTACAACAGCCTGGGCGTTTAAAGAAAAAAAAAAAAGAAAGGGAACTTTGTATGTCCCTAAGGCTTTAATTAGTGATCAAGCGCATACTCGCTGACTCGCTGAGGAGCCTGAGATCTCACGGGAAGATGTACATCAATGTCAATTAAACTTCCCATTTGCTTGTTCTTGACAGTAATTGCTCTTTAGAGTCTTTACTGAAGCAACTTGGGTCATACCACCTGGCAACAAAAGAATCCTTTCAAGTTTCAAGTTTTAACATGGTTTTTGGTCGCAGCAATGACCATAGAGAACTGTCATTTGGGTTATTTTATGGCTTTTTTTTTTGTTTGTTTGTTTGTTTGTTCTTTGTTTGACACTGTTTGTTTGTTTGTTTGTTTGTTCATTTCCTGTACAGCGAACTTTATGTTTGTATTGGCTTCCTAACACTCTGATGTGGTTCTCGCCTGTGTTATTTGTTCACCTTGAATTAAGCCTGGTCATCATGGTCATGTATCTTTTAAACCACCAGTACTTGGGCGATGCCTTAGCGTTAACGCTACGCGATTTCCGTGGCCGGCGGGCCGCCGATAAATCGAATCGACAGCCGGCGTGGCGCGCAGTGCCCAAGTACTGGTGGTTTAATATGGATGGTTGTGCATGTGTTTCTGAATCAGATGACAAAGAATGTGCATTGACGAGGATGATTATCAAAGTGGCATGGTCGATCACCATTGCTTACGTTAGGTAGCATAGTCGTCATGCATTCTTATTGCGTAAGCACATAGCATGTCTGCAGGTTTTGTTGTTGTTTTTTTCACCTTCCTTTCTGGATAATTTTAAGGAAAGAAGTCCGACGGCCTTTAGATTCTTGGAACTCAGCTGCCCAAGGCTCCCAGCTAAATCAGGAATTCATTTTCAACTGGTTCCATCTGGAGTTAAGCTCGGAGTTCATGGGTGTACCAACCAAGCTACTAGGAGAGTAGGCCTATGAGTTCACGTCTGCAAGTACCAAAAGCCCAAAAATTAGAAGGGGATTTAACCACCAGTACACGACCCCACCTTTGCAGAAAATGAGCGCCGCAACTTTCGGGGCCAGGCCGCTATTGATAAATTTCATCAATGGCCTTGGTCATGTTTCCGGCCTCCAGAAGTCGCAGTAAAGGGCGATGTATGGTCGTGTACTGGTAGTTTAAACCACCATTAAACAGCCGTTTCGTCAAAACGGACATATTATATTTTTTGAAAGAAATTAAAATTGAGTTTTTGGGCCGAAATCTGGTCCAAATTTTTGGCGTCGGACCCCCCAGATGTATCTAGTCTCAAGCTGCAACCAGATACATCTACAACAAAAAAATTCCCATGAGAAATGAAAGTTGAAAAAACATTCCATAAAAAAAAATCCTTAATATTTATAAATTATCATTCCAATGTTTGTCAAATTCTAAAATTTCCAATTTAATTTGATAAGTTGTCGTCGAAATATGAGTTTTCCCTTCCAACTACATCTATTTGTTCAAGATGGAATGAAAGTCTGGATGAGTTTATGAAATGTTTTAATTAGACTTTCATTCTATTACAACAAATATCGTCTAATTTAGATTGGATTAACCTATTTATGAATGAAAATTCTTACTTAGAATGGCAGTCCAATTAAAATATTTCATGGAATCATCCAGACTTTCATTCCCCTCTCTAGCATGCAGTTCAAATAAGAAGGGATACCCCATTCTTAGAAGGAAAGTTTTCAAGTAAGACGAAAAATTTTAAAATTGGAATTACATTTTTAAAGATGGAATGAAAATTTAGAATTTAGAATGTAATTTTACTCTAGAATGATTATTTAATTCTGGGAAATTTTTCTGTTGTAGGGGGTCCGGCGCCAGGAGCCAAAAATTTGGACCAGATTTCGTCCCAAAAACTCAATTTTAATTTCGTTCAAAAAATATAGTATGTCCATTTTGACGAAATGACCGTTATTACACCCGGGCCTGGAAGCCGCTGCACTGCACACCAAGCTTTTCTGAGCCACCAGCGGCACACTTGTTTTCTCTTTAGACTGGCACCACCAGCCATTGTTCTCCCGTAGCCCTGAGTCCCGAAAAGTTTGGGGTTGGCAACTGGCAGTTTTCTGCAAGACTGGGACCCTGGGTTTAAGAACGAACGAGGTCTCATTCGACTTACAACAAAAACTCTTGGCTGCTCCTGAAATTGCAGAAACCTTCAATCCTACCCTCTTCCTCGTGTCAATAAATAAATTGATTAATCTGCAAGAAGCTGCATCGTACCCCAATGACCCAACCTTCCAGCCCTGCCCTGGCATGTCTGATATGTGTTAATAAAAGAGTCTACGTTCTGGAGTGATTTGCACCGCCATAGACTACTGGTCTAAACCGCCAGTCCAAATTGATGAACAAAAAGATGCATTTTGTTGAGCCTAAAAGTGTAGTAAGGGTTTTTTGTAAAAATGGAGGTGTACAGGTTCTGGCCTTTATGCCAGTGAAAACTAAAGGACCGTCAGCCACAGGTGGAACCAAACACGGACCTCTTTTGTTTTGTTTTGTTTTGTTTTTTTTTTTTTTTTTTTTTTTTTTTTTTTTTTTTAAGGTTGTGTGGGATGGGGGGACAGAGTTTGAGGGAGGGTGTCCAAGAGGAGGTTGGACACGGTGTCGACCGGTAGAAGGGGTCTGCCGGCACGCCGTCCGTACCCTATGCCTCGCGCCGCGTCTGTCACCCGCGGGAGGGTCGATCAGGGCTCCTGTAACCTGCAAAAAACATGTCAGTCCACATCCACGAAAACAAGTACCGTAGCTGACTGTGACCAATGCAAGAAGAAACTCACGAAACACTGTCTGGCAGAAATAATAGAAGCAGTAGCATTCAATCCAAAATGATGGGGTGTGAAACACTCGTTCCGGCCTCAGCAGTACACCTCGCCCCTATGTTTGGGAAATCCGTCTGAGTCCCTACAGACCTAGTCAACAAACATCGCCTAATCCTCCTCCCGATTGGTTGTCGCCTGTACCGTGCACGTCGATCCCAAGGGACTGTGCTTGAGCTCTCAGTGTTTGATGTAGCCTCCCTTGCCCATCGGGGCCAGAGCTCAAGATCTACGGTGACCATACCCCCGTGCAATCGCTCCGCTAGGTGTGGGTCGCTCCGGTAAGCCTAGTTCAGGCGTCCCTCTCCAGAAAGGCTCGATTCAGATAGTTCCCGTTCGGGAGGCCCACTTCGGATTGTACCTCTTCGGAAGGCCCAATTGAGATCGTACCTCTTCGGGAGGCCCGCTTCGGATTGTACCTCTTCGGAAGGCCCAGTTCAGATCGTACCTCTTCGGAAGGCCCATTTCAGATCGTACCTCTTCGAGAGGCCTGCTTCGAATTGTACCTCTTCAGAAGGCCCGCCTCGGTAAGACACCCGCTGTAGAAGGCCCGCTTCGGTAAGATACCCGTCCGGTAAAATGCTCACTCGGTAAAGTGCTCGTCCGGTGAAGTGACCGCTCAATAAATCGCCTCCTTCGGCAAAGGTGTCCGCTCGGGGAAAAGAGCCCGTCCGGTAAAATGCTCACTCGGTAGAGTGTCCGTTCGGTGAAGTACCCCCGGTAAAGTGTCCGCCTGGTGCATGTATCCCCCCCAAGTAAAGGGTATCCGCTCGATAAAACAATTATCTGGTCAAAGTGTCCGCCCGGTAAATGTATCCGCTAGGTGAATGTATCCGCTAGGTAAAAAAACCACTCAGATACCCGGCCGGTAAATGTCTGGCCGGTGAAAGAATCCGCCCGGTAAATGCCCGTTCGGTACGGTGCCCCCTCGGTAAAGTGCCCTTCCGGAAGAGTGTCCCTCCGGTAAAATGCTCCCTTCGGTAGAGTGCCCTTCCGGTAGAACACCCCTTTGGTAAAATGTACCCCTCGGTAAAATGCCCCCTCCGGTAAAGTGACCCCTCCGGTAAAGTGGCCCTCCGACGAAGTGCCCCTCCGGTAAAGTGCCCCCTCCGGTGAAGTGCCCCTCCGGTAAAGTGCCCCCTCCGGTGAAGTGCCCTCCGGTAGAATGTTCCTTCGTTATGCCCGGCTCAGGGCGCGTTCAATAGACCCGGTCGGCCCTGATGATCTGACGGCGCCCAATTGTCCGCTCAGTCCGATGACCGACCGCTCGTTCGAAAGGCCCATTCGGCCTGACGACCTGAAAAGAGCCTCAAAGGCGCCGCCTTGCGTGGCGCCCAGCCCAGTATAAGCTCGCACTCGATGACGAGCTGATGTTCGCCTTTCCCTGCCGTCCGGCTCCCCCGCTCGCTCCATCTGCTGCGTCGTAGATCCCGCTCCTTCAAACCACCATACGGCTGGGCGCAATGATACCCGGTTCTCTTCTCCCCCATGTGCGAGTGCACGAGGGCGCGCGCGGCTCCCCAGCGACTCACCCCCTTCGTGTGCGAGTGCGCGCGGGCGTAGGCGGCTCCCCAGCGTCTCTCACTCTCCGCGCACGGGCTCACGCAGGTGTGCACTATTCCCCCACGGCTCTCTCTCCCCGTGCGCGGACACGCAGAGGTGCGCGCAACTCCCCGGCGCTACTGTCCAGATGTGCGCGCGTGCACGGATCTCCTCTCGCTGTCGCGTGCGGATGCGTGCGTGTGCGCGGATCTCCCCCGTTACTTCGCGCAGGTGCGCGCGCGTGCACGGGTCTTCCTCCGCTGTCGCGTGCGAGTGCGTGTGCGTGCATGGATCTCCCCCACTATCTTGCGCGGGTGGGCGTGCGTGCGAGGTTCTCCCCCCCGCTACTTCGCGCAGGAGCGCGCACGTGCGCTGTTCTCCCTCGTTGTCCCTTACGGATGTATGCGCGTGCGCGGATCTCACCCGCTATCTCGCGCAGATGCGCGCGCGCGCGCAGTTCCTCCCCGCTACTTCGGGCGGGTGCGTGTGTGCGTCGTTCTCCCCAGCGTCCCCGTACGGATGCGCGCGCTGTGCTTGCATATCCCCAGTGTCGCGCGTGTCCCCGTGCGTGTCTCCCGTTCGTCTTCGTGCCGAGTGCCGTACGCGCGTGTATCTAGTGCGCGCTCCGCTCTCCCGCGCACCAGTCTCCCTGTGCGCCTGTCCGTGCATGCTCCGTTGTACGCCTGGTAGCTCATGCGTGTCGTCTCCTCGTGCGCCAGTCTCCCTCGCGCCTGTCCGTGCGCCTCCAGTCCTGAGCGCCGATCTTCGCATCCCCCGAAGTGTTTGGTGTGCGCCTGAAGTTCGCATCTGAGAACTGTCCTTGTGCCTGGGCCCGGTTCGGCTT